GCGAGTTAGTATTATCAAAATTAATACCATCTCCATAATCTGAATTTGTTCAGTCAAAAGTTGGTAAACCATTTAAATAATCACTACCATCTAAACAAACTACCAATATTACAAGCAACTACTAAACTAGCAGGAGCAGAAATTAAACTAAAAACACCAAAAAGTAATAATATTTTTTTCATCAATTTTTATCCTTTCATTCCTCAATTAAAAAATCTTTTTGATAAATAGGAAAACAACATAGTAAATATCAAGATTCCAAATAATGTTTGCCAAATACTAGTAAAAACAACAAATGATATTTCATTATAATTTTGAATAATTTGACTTATTCCTAGTGAATCTAAAAATTGATATGAAGTAATCAACATATTTAACCAAATAAAATATTTAGTTGGACATAAATAACCAATAACAATAAATATTAAATTATTGTTAGTTACTGTTGGTTGAATTAAAACATCCGAAAAAATAATGAAAAATATGGTAAAAATAGCAAGCATTACAAATGATAAATTAAACTAAGGAAAAAATGTTGTAATAAATATGTTAGCAACTGTTAAAAAAAATGTTAATAATATCATAGCAAATATATAGAAAATTCAAATAAATCATCTAATATTAGAAAAAATATTGAAATTAAAGAGTAAATATTATAACAAATAATATTAATACATACTGATAATGATACCATTATTAAATTTGATAAAAAAATTGTTAAAATAATATAATATTCATTAATACCAATTATTTTTATTCTTTTTAAAAAGTTTTTCTTTCGCCATTCAATCACAAATATTCCTAAATAAAAACTGATATTGATAAAAAATTTAACAAAATAGGGGGTTAAATTTGATAATAACTATAATTATTTCATAATCACGATGATAATGCAGAAATTAAAAAACCTAATAAAAATACAAAAATATAAGTTCTAGGATTTCCAAAAATTACTTTTGAAATTAAAGAAAAAAGTCTTGAAAATTTAGAAACAGTACTTTGTTTGAATAATTCTTTAGTTACCATTAACTTCATTTTGATAATACTCCACCATCATTTTACGTAAACTACCATATTTTTTTATAATTGCATCAATACTTTGGTCTTGATAAATTTCACCATTTTTTAAAATTACTAGCCGATCACAAAGTAATTCAACTTCTTCTGGTGTGTGTGAAACAATTAATAAATTAATTTTTTTAATTTCTTTTCATGACTTAATAAAATTTATCTTAACTTACTTAAACTTAAATTAACAAATCTCACATTTAATCCGAATGAAAAAACCGAAATATCGGGTATCGGCAAACACACAACAATGCAAACAGCGGGAACGGTTACATTGAAACCAAAAATCAAAAATACCATAACACCCATAAAGTTTAATATAATCAAAGCTGAACTTAACATCGAATTTGACGGAATAATCGGTATGGATTTTTTGAAATCACATAATGCAATAATAAACATAAAAGATCAATATCTCCAATTAGAGAATTTCGGAAAAGACAAAATAATAAAAATTAAATTAGAACCAGCATCAGAAAAATCGATTACACTGCCACCTCGTCGCGAAACAGCAGTTCAAATTAGCATCATTCACCACATCACAGAAGGCGTTTGTCCAAAAATACAAATCAAAGAAGGCATTTATGTCGCAAATGCCATACTAAAAGCAGAAGATAATCTGTCAATCACCACAATCGTTAATACAACGGAAGATGAAGTAAAAATCCCACAAATCCAAGTGGAACTTGAACCATTTTGTTAGGTGTGGCACTTGTGAGGGCAGATGATTAAAGATAAGCATAAAACAATGAGCACTTATAATTGTAAAAGAATGTCGAATAGCTTTTATTGAATAAGGCGTCTCTTAATCTGCGTCTGCTGCGCTCTGCTTGTACTTAGCTACTGCCCCGGGCGCACGCAGTGCGCCGGTGTTGCGCGGGAAAAATAATGTAATGTATGTTGTGTTGTTGGTTGCCTACGTTACGCATTTCGCTAACACTCGACCGTCCTGACTCTCACGCGTCCTCGAGTGTGTATGCTGCGAAGCCGGCTGGAACCTTCGTGACTCGTGAGCTCTTCCTTACGTTTTCACCTCGGCAGTGGCGCTTCCACTTGCCGGAACAGCTCTCCTGCAACGTCAATGTGGTTCGGTAATTTCCAGGAAACGCCGTAGCTGGTACGGATATCTGAAGGCGCAGGATACTCTGAGATCGCTCGTAGCGTTTTGCGGGGCCAGGCTCACATACCATCGGCACTCCAGAATGAACCCCCGTACCACGCTCCTGCATAAGAAGTATTGGCAAAAGGTATAGTAGCTTTACTAAAGCTAGTCCAGCGTCAAATCACGAACATTATTCCCAACGAACGAGCACCAATATTTCAAGGCCGTTTATTATAAACGACAAAAGTTTAAGCACCGTATCAGCAATGCGCCGTTTAAACATTTATTTTCTGATTATTGCAATTTTGCACTTAGTCACATTAAATCAACCAATTTTTTGAAGATCGCAATAGCAAAAGCATATCATTTAGTTCTCTCCGATGATATAATATATAATACACAAGTGATTAATACAGATATATCAGGTTAATCTCAAACTTAAACGAAATATGTTTATGTTTTATTGTAAGTATTTCTGTTTTTAGTCACTAATCCACATCACGACGCAGATCATGAAACAGGCAGAAAACACGTTAGCTTCCGGGCGATACATATAATACTTTCGTTGACAACGTCGACATAAATTCACTGCCAACGCATACCAAGCCGCAATTGTACAAAAGGACCTTTAACAACGGTCAGAGCTGAATATCTTCATAGCCTGGTATTTCCAAATAAACTCAGAAAACACTCGCGGTGCAGGCACAGATTTCAAAGCAACTGGGGCACAACTTCTTCCAGACACAAGACAAAAGACTGGAGGTCCTCAAAGGTGCTTCAGATCCTAAATATAGTGTAGTTCTAAAGAGCTTCTGATATTTTAAACTAAGTAAGATTACTATAAGTTATGTTTACTGCAAAATGTATATGTATTTGTGTTTTGTGATAGGATTTACTTACAATTTTTAGAAAAGCATTTTAAATAAAATGATTACATAGGATTTACAATTTACAATTCTAATGATAATAATGATAAATAATGATTAATATGCCAATTTATGGTAGTTAATAACAATATATAATTGTATAGTAGTTTAGAATTTTCCATGTGGTCCTCCCACCTCGCTGGTAGTTCAAACTTTTAAGAATTTCATCAGGAATCGGGCGGGCGGCGTAGGCAAATGATTGCCTTGAGCGACGAATCCGTTTTCATCAGCTTATGGCGCATTATACTATAAACTTTTATTATCGGCCCGGTACTTATTTGCCAAAAAGCCTTTGGCGCACCTTCTTCAAATCACTTCAGCGGCGGTTGGTGGCGGGCGGTGGATGACAAATGGCATTGGTGGACGGGACGGAAGCAAATGTGTAGTTTTTGGATTAAGAACTGTTCAGCGGGAATATCACCGAAAAATTTAGACTGGTGATTTGCAGAATGAAACTTTGTTAATGGCTTCCTGAAAATTCACGTCCTTGATTCCTTGGAGAGGTTTTCGGTGTAAAATTCTAGTAGTAGGAGCAATTGTAGAACTTAAAACTGATCATCTTATAACTCAATTTAGAAGATGACGCAAATATTCCGAAGATTTTTGTGTTACCAAAAATTATACAATAATAATAATATTATTTTATTTAATGTTTTGGAGATAAGACTAATAACTAAAGTTAATTTACCTTCAAATTCTCTTAATTGATTATTTGAGGCCTAACAAAATTATTTTGCGCAAACTTTGATTTAGATCCAGATACAAAATTTCAAACAAAATTTACCCATCGCTGAAATTTATTTAAATTTCCTTTTGCTCGGTAAATCCTGGTCCTTTTCGTGTTTATATTGTCCACTATTATCAACAATATATTGACCAGAATTATCATGCACATATTGTCCATCTTCTCCATCGGGACCAGGATATTTCCCAGGATGATATTGTCCATCATCTTCATCGTTCAACGATTGACAATATCCTCCAATCCAGAATATAGATAAACACTAAAATAAATAAAAATAAAAAAAACATACAAATGCATAAAAAATATAGTTTTTACGTTTGTAGTTTTAAATGACTAAATACAATCAAAATATGTATCAGTAAAAGAACAAAAGTGAGAAATACACTTGCAGCTACTGTTTCACCTCCGTGATCGGCCACTGATAACAATCGGTGTTTGTTTTTTTCTGTGCTCGTTTTCAATTCTGATCGCTCAGCCGATCAAACTCTCGATCGAGAATCACAAATTGCGTAACTAAATTGTTTCCTGCCGTTTTTACAATTCCACTAATCTTGCACAGTTAAGAAAACTTGAAAATTGAGTTATTAAACAATGAAAAATAAAAATACCATAAAAGTTTTAACACAAAGCATAAATTTATAAATTATTATGGATTTTGACATTTGTAAACCTTTCTAAAAGGAAAGATTCACATTTTATTATTAAGACATTTGCATATTTTAGCTTGTTAACTTTCCTTAAAAGAAAAATAAACACGACAAATCAAATTTACAATCTATTCATCTATTCAACATGAGTTAAGTCATGAACATGTCAACTCTAACCCCGGCCATTGCTCAGCGAAGATGAAAATGCACAAAATCTGGGCTCGTCCAACAGTCTGACCCATTTACGCCATACGTCTAGATGTATAAGTGTATCGGTGTAGGTGTGTATTATTCATTTGCGTTTTTCTTGATTGGATAAGAACAGAGCAAGCACGAGAAGCTCCCAATAAGAAGTTACATTTGCAAGCCCACAAGGCCGCATAATTAAAATTCATAAACGTAATTGAACGGTGAATGGTATGCAACAATTGCGCAAAGTGACTGTATTTGATAGTACTAATCCGGCAATGGCTATAACTTTCTGAAACGCTGACGATACAATAAGGGCAAACATGTGGAAGCCGAGAGAAACAATTTTGTTCATCACAGATTGTAAAGTGCAATACGACACCTTTTCCAACAGTGCAATAGGTACTCCATCAATGAAAACTATTATCACCGAGAATCCGGAAGGAAAAGAAGGCAATATCTTGAAAAACTATGCAATGAACGCGCATTTGCACATTTCCGCAGTTATGGATCAATTGCTTGGAGTTATGCCAGAACGTAAGATAACACAATAATGTCGTTTTAGTTACACTATGTATTAAAATCTTTTAATATAGCGGCTTTTATCAAAACGATAATGATAATACGTGAAATTCAACTCAAATTGAACCAAATTAGTAATACAAAGTCAGTTAGAGTAGAAGAGAATCAATTTGCTGTCATTTTATACGCATACGTGACCAAACTAGACATTGATGGTCTCTCCAGAATATTCAGTACTCGTTGGTAAGTTAATGCAATTAAATCTTTCTATAACCATTGCGGGCGCAGTAATTTATTAAATTATTATAGTTCCCTTTGCAAAAGTATGACTAACCAGTTGGAAGAATGTCAAAATGCAATTTGCTTGTCCAATACATCTAACCAAGTGATGGATCTTGACAAAATCTTTGATTTACGCATTGAAGTATCGGATAGAACCGGTACATTAACTCAATGTCGATTGAGTGGACAAAACGCAAAAACTGTATTCAATTGCAGTGTAAGTATAAACGTAAATATATAAAAATAAATGATTTCAACGTTCATACATATTTAGCCTTGTGAATTTTCTGCAATGTCCGATGAAGAAAAATTGAGAATCAAGTGGAAATACCTAATGGAATTTTGTGAATTGCGTTTGGTTATCCTGTTAAAAAATGATAGACCAATGATAACAGTTTTGACCTGCACACGAGCGGATGTGAGCGCTCACGGGGTAAATTAACTTTTTAATTCAAAATCATTTAAAAATAAATAACTACATTTAATATTCGACTATTACAAATACCCTGTTTTGTAAATAAATAAAAATAAATTCGTCTTTAGAAAATGAAACATAAATGTTCATAATTCAAAATAGTGACTACTCTTTGTGGAACATATCAGCCGTTTGCAGTAAACATTTGCATCCGCATCCTGATGGGCAAACGTTCTGGGTGGCAAACCATTGTTGTAGGTGTTTTGTATGTCCGCCATGACCGCACACAAGACAACAGTTTGCGCTGCCCCGTACGGACACGTGACAAATCACGCAGTTCAACGAAATTCTATTGCAATTGCCACATCCACATTGGATTGATGGACGTAAACAATGTTGGCAATCAGCTAGGAACACTACACCGCGTGGGGCATCTGTTTGTGTACACATAAACTTTAGTACTTCAGCCCGATTATACAATAAACCCCAGCGATGTAAAGTCTCCGCATACGCCATCTTGTAGTATTCGTAACGTGAGGACGTGTCGGATTTAATGCGTTGCTCTTGATACTGATCGATTTTCAGATTATCCAAGCTATTCGAACGCATTTAAATGATATAATGGTTGGCTTAGTTCACTGAATTTTGGGATGAATCTTCGATAATAACCAACAAATCCGAGAAATGACTGAAGATCTTTAACATTTTTAATTAAAGGATAATTTACAACTGATTCGATTTTCTTTGGATCTGGTTTTACTCCATTTTCGGTAATCAAGTGCCCTAGGTAGATAGCCGTAAAACCCCCGAAATCCCTAATTTACAACCTTGTTCGGGGCGACGCCACAACCACCAGCCACTTAAACGCACATCGCATTATTTTTTCCACACTTCTACTTGGATTTGATAATACAGACAAGTAAAAGTAAATAAATATTATTCTAGGAGTAAAAAAATTTAATTTTTCGTTGTTTTTTTTTTTGTGTGTGCATCAGTTTTGAGCGAGATTTAAGCGTTTTGGGAGTTAATGCGTCTCCGGCCAGTGTGTCACCGGAGGAAGGAAGCCGGGTGCGGTTAATCCGATCTAAAGTGAGTTATGCTTGCGCGGTCACGACTCAACGCACTTTTTCTACGTGCCGATTATGCTCTCCGAACGATTTTTGTTAGCCTACGTCTCACCCAACTCGAAATAGGCTTACAACTAAATTTTCTACATCCACACACGCTTTATTTATGTAAATTATAAACTTTAATTGAAAAAAGGAAACATTAATTAACTTCATCCACGAATGAATCCAATGGGTCTTCACCTTCACCCTGAGAGATATCAAACGTGTAAATAACTTCTTGATTATCAGCTTTGCGTTTTTTGGAAGCCGGTTCTTCAGTTACATCGGAGACGATTGATAAATCCTCAACAGCTTCATTGTCGGATATTTCCACGACAGGTAAACTTTTGACACTTTCAGCTGTCTCATCTAATTTATCACTTTTTGAATCAATAGTGATGTTATCGATTTCTTTCAATGATTCATCATCATCATTTTGATTGCATTGGATTAAATAGTTACTTAAAACTTTAATCGCGCCGGATTCTGGTTGTTTTTCTTGCTGTTCTTCATTATTTTCTGTAATTGTTTGTAATTGACCAATGGGGGCATGAATAGGATGCACAATTTTTTCAATTGCTTTCAATCCTTGCTGGCAGACGCTTGTAATTTCAAAATCGTCACCGGCCTGTGCCAAAGCAAGAATATTCACTGCCAAGTCAATATCGATCGTGTACGTGGGCTGATCAAAAATGGCAACGAGCACTTTATAAAGCCCAAGACGTGATTTTTGTTCAGTGTATGGTAAACAAATATAATTTGCAGATATATCCAGTAAAGTACTTGTTATAATATGGAATAATTGCTGTAAAAATAAATTTTTTATATAAACAACTAAAGTTTAAAGTTGTAAAAGTTATGCCTACAGTACAAGTTGTTTTCTTAATGTTTAAATGCACAGATTTAAACAGTGTCTCTAGTAGTCCCAGGGCAGACTGACAATTGGCGACTTGAGTCTGCTGAACTCTCGGTGTATCTTTCTCCTCGTTTGCCGCAGTAGCTGTGGTTGTACTAGTTGTAGACGTTTTATTATTCGTGCTCTTTGATTTACTGTCTGTTATTGTTCACGTTTATCTGCAACCACATTTGAGTTAAATATAATATCGCGTCATTTCGTTTGACGACGCTGTTTTATGATACCTGCAGCACTCCAGTGTTGCTTTACTGGGAGTGATATCTTTTATGATGATTTCGATGAGCTTCTCGAGGGTTTTGGCATCGATTTGCTCGTCGGAACATTGCATCCAATATTGATGACGTCGTAAATGGTACTCTTGTAAAAACTAAATAAAATATTTAACATAAAAACAAAGATAAATTGGTAGAACTAAGAATATTACCTGTTCACATTGTAACAAGTGCAGTCGGTGACTCGGGCGAGGTATCTAAAGAGCATTTTAATTGTTGAATGTCTCATAAAGTTGCTTTGCAGGCTTTGAATGAGTGCTTTCAATAAAAACAGCAAATCAATTTGATGTTGTTGAATGTTTTGATGGAATAACCGATTTGTGAATGTCCAAACCGCGTTGAATTACAAGCAGAATTTCGGGCTTAATTGTCTTTTTAAGCTTATAATCAGTTCTATAAATTAAATTATTGTAGAATATAAATAAAAGTAAGTTAGGCAACTTACTGTAACATTTGTATTAAGAAAATCACAATGTTTGCCATCCTGCGGAATATCTTTGAATTTGATAACGTTTGTAATATCTTCGGGAGCGTCGCGAAACTCGTTGATATTCTCAAACATCGCATCATACAAAACACTGAGAGTTTTGTACAATTTTTCAAAATTATCCTGAAAGTTTTTAATGTGTATGGTGCCATTCGGACCAGCGCCACCTATCTGATTCAAAATATGGTAACATTTAGCTGCTTCAACAATAGTCACAATTTTCGATGGAGAGTCCAAAAATTGCAACACATACTCTTCAATTCTTCTTTTGTCACCAATGCATGCAGAAGGGAAATATTTCATAGTGAAATATAAACAATTCAAAGCATGTTGGGCTTCCGCAGACTTAGGATGCGCCCAGATGCATGTATCAACAATTTTGGAAAGTAAATTTGTAACAATAGACTTGTAAAACTCTTGATTACTATGGCAACGGTGATATAATTCCACTGAAATTTAAAAGTTCAAAAATAATAGAGAATACTCTTGTAACATGGGCAACCAACTAAGCGAAATTTTTAGAAAAACTTGTAAATTACCTAAAATCTGTGATCTCTACGCCGCACTGCATAAGTAACCCAAGTTTTAGCATTCTCATCAAGAACAGTTTGATTACAATCAGGAATGATTTTAATCAGCATTTCAAATGCTTGCTCCTTAGAAATGCCTTTGGATACTTGCTTGTTGATGAATGTAATTACTGCTTTTGATGATTTTCCTTCACTCATGAGGAACCGGACTGATTCCAGTAGAGATGTGGATTGTTTAATATCAGATTGCGGTACACACTGCAGCATGTTGAGCTCTTCTTTAACTTCAGTCATGTTGATAAGTTATTTGTGTTGTTGCTTTAAGGTTATAACTCTGGAAAACATGGGGTAAATTGAAACTTTTTGTATCTCTTGGGTACGAAAGTTAATAACTTACGTTGTTTCAATGTAATCACAGAGGTAGTGAGATGTAAATTCAAAGGAGTCACAATTATAGTTGGCTTTGATACGCACACTAGCTTTATTTTAAATAATTTGGATTTTTTTTAGTTTGGACATACACGTGTTAATTACGTGGTGGAAATATAGATGGCGCTACGATACACTTTTTCAATATTATTTTGTGTGTACGCGATTAGATTAGAAGTGTTTGAGTTTGTTTTGATTTGTTTCACGTCTAGAGCACGCTGTGAAACTGCATCTTTATTGTGCGATGCAATAGGCATGATGACTAATTTTGAAAAACTACTCCACGATATTTTTAGGCATTTAAAATAGTCGAAATAAATTTTATTTTTGGAAAAATTAAGGTTTTGATGGAAAATTTGACATTTTAAATAATGCAATTTAAACTTAGCGCCAAAAGAAAAACACTAGAATAAGTATTAGCGTCTGTGTGTGACGATCACGCTTTCGTAAACACTTGACACTTGGCATGTTAATCAGTTTATTTTCTATATTATTTTAATTATTTTGAGCTATAATGATGATGAGATTCTAACGTGTATCGATGGTGTGCGGTTCCTCAATGTAATAATACATCGATAAAGACTCCGAATAAGTTGTTCATTAATGTTCCAATAACTAAAAAAGTGAGAAATACATGGCTAAATCTTGCAAGGCGAGACGAGACCCAGTTATTATATCGCCAAATTCAGTACTTTATTTCTGTGAAGACTATTTTGATGTAAGTATTTGATTTATTTACTATCGTTATAGTGTTCAGTCTTGTAATTATAATGTCGAGATTAACAATACTTTGTTCCAGTTACCAAATGATATGGAAAATTATATGGAATATCATGTGATGGGTTCAGTTTCACAAGTCCGTATGAGGTCAGGGTGTACTCCCACAAGATTTGAATGCCAACCAGACAGAAGAAAACGAACTTCAACAGAGCGTCCTTATGTTCTTAAAAAGCAACGGAAAATATTAATCGAAGATAGTGTAAAAGGTTTAGCTGAGGAAAGTACACCGACAATTTGTTTAGAAGTCGCTGGCAGTTCATCTGATCATTCAGTTTTGCACACAATCGAAGAGCATCAAGAAGAGCCTAAAACCCGGCCGAAATTGGTTGATAAATCAGTACAAGTATACATTGGAAAAAAATTTAGAAGCAAAGCAGTCCAGACAGAAATGAAATTAGTAAACCAGTTGACATCACCAATGAAACCCGATTGCTGTGGCTATGGAGGAAGAGTAACTGATACAAGCTTGGTTGAATCATGTGATTTTATCAGGTATCTACAGCCTGGTATGTGTGTGATGGCAGACAGAGGTTTCAAACATGTCGAACAATACTTACGTAAGGAGGGTATAAAACTTGTACGACCCCCAAGTGTTGTCACTGGAGCTAAGTTGTCTAAAGGCGAGGTCAAAGAAACCAAGCAGATAGCTAGTTTAAGAATCCATATTGAAAGGGTAATTAGACGTTTAAGGGAATTTAATATGTTAAAACCCCATGCATGTGTAAATTTACATCTTGTTAAAGCACTTGATGAAGTTATTGTGATTGCATGTGCTCTTATAAATTTACAAGACTCTCTTATTAAATATATCTATAAAATTATAATTTGTGCATTTTATTTACATATTACAATGTACTTTCATACAACACTGGATATACTTTTTCTTTCCACTGATTTGTTAACTGTTTAAGAACGAGTTCGAACGATTTATTTACTAATGATAAAATGATGTTTACAAAACCGTGACGTCACACGCTTCTGATTGGCGTTTCACCTAATATGGCGGATTGACTCATTTCTATATGTTTCATCTCTAGTGACCAAACATGTTCCTCGTAATACAATCACAACAAAAATGTTAATTTAATGTGCAATGAATAGACTAGGATGAATATTTGAAAATCTACTGGATAAATAATATTTTACAAAATGCGTCGAAATTTGTGTGAACCTAAAATTATGTTTTATTTTTTACGAAAAATATATTAAATTGCACACCTTTTTTCTTTTCGTTTATACTTTTAGCGAAGCTGCTTTCTTACCATTTTATTGAATTCTCTTTGTGAATCTGCATCTTTGGTTGAGTATCTTTTTTCGAAATCAGTATTATAAATTCACAAGCGAAATTAAAATGTTTTGAAACATAGTGTTAACAAATAAAAGCATAAAAATAATTCGAATATCAGAAAATGAACACAAATTCCCTTCAGATCTTAGAAAACTGCAATTATTGATCAACTCTAAACTTGATATTTAGACGACAAAACTACAAAGCTTTCATCAAGCAAATAAAATAACTAATTACTGTCAGATGTAATCAGAACTATTTGAAATTAACTAGAGTGATTGTGACTTAGCTTTCCGTCGCTTGCTAATTTTAAAATTAACAATTCAAAGTCCTGTATATATAAATGAAGTTCCTTAGAATGTACAAACTACGAAATCGTTGCATTTACATTTACACACGAAAATAAATAGCTTTTTCAATTGTTTCTTGTATGTGCACCCCTATTAAAGCACTAACTAAAAAATAGTTTTGCTTACGAAATTCAACTCGATTCAACTCGTAAAAGCGACGACATTCTTAACCTTGCAGTTGCACACCGGACACCGCTTGCAATTCGTCAGACGCGCATCGCGCATTTTATAACGCAACAACATGTGCCCGATGCTGCCGTGCAGAAAAATGCCGTTCTTCGGCGCTGGTCATACACATGATGCGCATATCATCGCGGTTGCGCGCTGTTCGAATTCCCGATCGAATGCCGCCGCCGCCTCCTCGGTCAATGACACTTTAAATTACTCGTTCAACACCAGCGGCTCTCATCCGCGCACGAAATACTAGCTTCACTCGCCTGGCTATCGGTCAATTCTTGACTGGATGACATCTTCACGGCATTTACCGCTGATCTGACTACTGCTGCACTCGGGCTCGATGGGGATTAAATTACATTTGCTACTTGTTTCGTCCACGGTATCGATCTTGCAGCGCACCACGCCGCGATTCGGCGCTCATCATAATCGAAGATATCATCCGAGGTCGCTCACATCGCGAGATCCTCATTAAAGGCCGACATCACTTGCCCCGTCGTCCTCAAAATTCAAGTTGGGGATGCGTGAGTTGAAGTCGTGCCTGGTTCGTGTGTGTTGCTAGTCAGTTTGTCCTTCAGCTCCTTGTAGGAGGAGGCGCTCTGCAGCGTGTCGAAAGCTTGACGCGACGGCTTGGGTCTGGGTGGGAAAGTTTTTCCGCACCTACAATACAGTATAAAAGTGTTGAGTGCAAAGTGTTCCGGACGGGTGTTTATACATCAGCCAAGTGCTGCATTGGTGCAAATGGACGGGGAGGCGGATGATTGGGCAAGTCGCAAAAACTGTGATCGAAACACAAAGTCTTGAACGCTGAAGCTAAGTTTTGATTAATGTTGTCGCATACAGGAGACAGATATGTAATAGTAGTTTGTAAGCGGTGAAGATAAAATACAGGATGTGCAATTTGTTGAAACGTGGCCAGGTCCACAGCTCACACCCATGTGATTTACATGAATATAATTTCATTAAAATAAATATCTAGTAAGATTTCTTTGTAAATTTTAATAAAATTCACTAGATATTTATTTTGCAATGATAACAAGTTAATTGGAAGCAAATTTTTGTTTCGCATCTGAAATTTTACGCACCTTATAACAACCAATACATGAGTGGAAAACCTTTGAACGTCTTCTTCGTCTTTTGCCATTTGCTTAACATTTCTGCCATTATCAAAACAAATGTTAAGTTATTATCAAAACAGAAACAGAAACCTGTGCGTGTTTACCTGGACTTTTGACGTATAGAGTAAAGAAAAATTGCTTAAAAGTCTTACCATCAATGCAGAACCAGTTCACATTTTGATTGGATTTACCAAACATAAACATTCTTCATAAGAAAGTATTGCTACTTTTAACAACAAAGGAATTCCCTATGATGCCTACATACGTCAACCTTTTGCACTTTACTTTCCGTCATGTTAATTCCTTGTTTTTGTTCTACTCAGAGTCAGACAATCAAGTTCATGTGACACACAATGGAGTGGATGCTGAGTTTCATGTTAATTGAATTGCGGTAGGCACGTACAATAAAAATTTAATAAAATATTGCGCAATATTGAAAATTCAAACATGTTCGTTCATGTTCAGATAAGTTCCTGAAAAACCGCATGAATCATACTACTATAATCCGCTTAAAAGGGCGGGGAGGAATTCTTGGAAGGTTCGATGGAAGGTTTAAGAAAACGAGTGCTTCCTGTTTGATTTGATGCCTCACATCTGCTATCCCCCACTATACGAAGGGCTATAATAAAATATAACCTACGACATCGTCGTCTTCTCAAAATCCTTGCATGCACATTTAGTTCACGTACGCCTTATTTTTTTGAAAAAATTACGTGAATTCAATTTAAAATTACAAATGGACAAATGCTGGCGAATTTTTTAAGAAAGAAGTTCAATTTTTAGGTCATATCCTTAACGCAGAAGGTATCAAATAAATCCTTCAAAATTCACGCTATTCAAAATTATCAATTCCAAAAACGGTCAAAAGAAATTAAGTCATTTCTGGGACTGACGGGATATTATCGTCAGTTATTCAAAATTTTGCAGAGGTCGTTCAACCATTTACAAAATGTCTTCAAGCTGTTCAAAAATGTAAAGATTTGCTAAGTAACGCACCAAAACTTTTTGTTTAACCACCGACGCCTCAAATACAGCTTTAGGAGGTGTATTATCACAAGATCTCCGGACATTATAAAATAAAAGAGATCACTTGCTCTTGTATAGAGCAGAATCAATGTTTATGTTTCCGTTGATTTGATGGAACAATTAATACACGTGCTTAAAAGAAATTCCTTTACCTTTTAAGATACATTTCTAGTCGTTTTCTAATCGTTTTAGTTAATTAAATCTTCAAATTAATTGATACTTATGTTTTATTCCTTTTCAATGCTTAAGTCTCACAAACATCGAATACTTTTGCATATTAATGATCACACTTTCTGTTAATATATTGATTGTAACTTTTGGAAATTTTCTAAGCTAATTCTTATTCTGAAATTTGAACGGAACTATAAATATTCATGTACTGTTTTTCTGTGTACCTATAATTATTAAATATAATTATCTACGTGATTTCACGAGGGACGTGATTAACTTCTAAAATACGCGCACTACTCACGAATCAGTGCCATCCGAATGGCTTAGCTGCTTTAGAGGGGAGGTTGAAATGCTTCTAATTCCGGTCAGTCGGGCGAAATGAAATAATTAACAGAAACACTTACGTGTTAGAAGGTGAGACCATCCTTTTTTTCCTTGTGGGTGCTTTCCGACCCATGTTGCTAAAACTATTAACGTGGAATTCTTGTTACAGGCGTTTTGTTTTTGGGTTGGTCGTTAATGCCATGTGGTTTGATGATATTTGTGCTACTGAATTTGCTACTGTTTCGTATTTAAATTAGTTTTGCTTTAGTTAAGGGTGTGAGTTCGCTCAAACAAATTAATCACATCAGATTTTTTTTTGTTGTAAAAGTAAAACTTACAAACTGCTAAATTTTATTATTTGTTGACACAGCGTGGATATTGTATGTATTCATTAAATAAATTTTAGATTTTTATTATCTTGTGTACGCTCGGTAGGCACAATTTTCGTTATGTTTTACTTTGTCTAGATGACTTTTATTTTTATTATTCTATCATATTTGTAGTTGCCTAAATACATGCATCAAAAATAATCGTAAAATTACCGAAATGCTGAAGATATTTTCATGCACGTCATGCCACATTAGCCTGCGTTTTGATATTCAAAACGATGCAATTTGTTCCTTTTCGATTCTTTTTGATACATTATTGCACATCAATCATATCTTAAATAAATATCCCGTTGTACTTCTTCTTTTAGAATTTAAAGTCCAAAGGATTTTTCATTTCATTTCCTCCCCAATCCAGAGTCAACAAACCCTGTAAGTATATTTTATATGTTCCTGTGTACGCGCTTTTAATTTTAATTTTATTGTACCTTGTAGATATCTAAGTACTCGTTTTAAGCATTGCCAAAGTTCTTGGTTATTTTTATTCATATATCGACTCAAAATACTTATAGCAAGAGTTAGATCGGGTCTTGTACATACCATTAAATACATTAGGCACCCGATAAGGCTTAAGCCAGTAAGTACACCGCTAGTAACTAATCTGGATTATAAGGCATTGGAATCCGATGAAAAATACGATGCTCCGTGTCGAAGTTATTTATTTTCGTTTGTAAATGTAAATGCAACGATTTCGTAGTTTGTACATTCTAAGGAACTTCATTTATATATACAGGACTTTGAATTGTTAATTTTAAAAATTAGCAAGCGACGGAAAGCTAAGTCACAATCACTCTAGTTAATTTCAAATAGTTCTGATTACATCTGACAGTAATTAGTTATTTTATTTGCTTTGATGAAAGCTTTGTAGTTTTGTCGTCTAAATATCAAGTTTAGAGTTGATCAATAACTGCAGTTTTCTAAGATTCGAAGGGAATTTGTGTTCATTTTCTGGATATTCGAATTATTTTATGCTTTTTATTTGTTAACACTTTGTTTCGAAACATTTTAATTTCGCTTGTGAATTTATAATAGTGATTTTCGAAAAGATACTTCAACTAAAAATGCAGATTCAAAGAGAATTAATAAATGGTAAGAAAGAAGTCAGTTAAAAAAGATAAACGAAAGAAAAAGGTGCAATTTAATATATTTTTCGTAAAAATAAACATAATTCTTAG